GACTAGGTTCTTGGGGCTGGAGCGATAGCACAGCAGGGAGAGTGCTTGCCTTGCATGACGCTGACCTGGGTTCGATCCCTGGCATCCCATAGGGTCCCCAGAACACCTCCAGGAGGAGTTATTTTTGAGTGGAGAGCCAGGTAACCCCTGATCATTGCCAGGTGTGGCCCCCATCCCCCGATTAAAGATTGTAGGTTCGTTCATTTACAAAATAAATGAAGTATTCTAAAAGAACTTAGATTCTTCATGAGGGACAAAACCCAACAGACAATAGAATCCATGGCTGATGGGGTGTGGAGGTCAATACATACGAACATGAGCCCAGGACATGGGAAGGCATGGTTGGATAGCAAAGAAGGTGTGGGATTTACTTTTAATTGTTGCACATCCATCAAGGATGCAGAAATCTGTTCCAAAAGGTTGCACATCCATCAGGGATGCAGAAATCTGTTCCCAAAGGTTGCACATCCATCAAGGATGCAGAAATCTGTTCACAGAGCCAAAGGACCTCAATTTATTTGGCAATGACAGATTCTAGAATTTGGGAGGTGAACATTTTGGGGAGGGGGTCATGGTGTGGGACTGGCATGAATGAATTTTCAGAAACAGTTGACAGATATATGCAGGGAATCATGAACCATGTTCAGCTGGATCAGGCTATTTGCCTTCAGAAGGATGGAGACCGAAAAACGGGCTAAGAGCAAGACCCCAGAAGGCTTTTGACATGAAGCACTGGACAGTGAAAATCCAAGGCTGGGAGCTTGAGCGATAGCACAGCAGGTAGGGCGTTTGCCCTGCACGCGGCCGACCGGGGTTCGATTCCTCCGCCCCTCTCAGAGAGCTCGGTAAGCTACCGAGAGTGTCCCACCCGCACGGCAGAGCCTGGCAAGCTACCCGTGGCATCTTCGTTATGCCAAACACAGTCACAACAAGCCTCACCATGGAGACATTACTGGTGCCCGCTCGAGCCAATCGATGAACAACAGGAGGACAGTGCCACAGTGCTACTTTAATGGGAACCTTCTCCCTTTACTTGAATTCCCTATGTGGTATCCCAAGGGTTAATGCAGGGAGAGGGATGGTCAGTTGGAGAGAAATATTTTGTTCATGAAAATGGAACGAGGTGCTGGAGTGATAGCACAGCGGGGAGGGCGTTTGCCTTGCATGCGACTGACCCGGGTTCGATTCCCAACATCCCATAGGGTCCCTCGAGCACCACCAGGAGTGATTCCTGAGTGCAGAGCCAGGGGTAACCCCTGTGCATCACCGGGTGTGACCCAAAAAGAAAAAAAATAAAGAAAAAAGAAAAGAAAATGGAATGACATCGGGCTGGATGCCTGAAGGAACAAAAAAGTTGGGCCCCTTTGGGGTTTTCAGATGCTCAGACCACATCTTGGTTTGGGGTTTGAAAAGATCTTCATCATCCCCCTGAAAAGTAAACACGATTCTGTCCCCCAAACATAACACATACTGAAGGAGAACATTCTTTGGGTATTTGACATACTCCTCTTGGAAAAGGCCCAAGTTGGGGGGGGGGGGAAGAAAAGAAAAGAAAAGAAAAGAAAAGAAAAGAAAAGAAAAGAAAAGAAAGAAATTGAGTTGCATGAAGAAGGAGAGCGGGAGGTTGCAGGCAGGAAGCTGGGTTAGCTATGCTTGGAGGCTTCTCTGGACAGTTTGGCCAGTGTCCTCACTGGTAGGGCCCCATTGAGCCCTTAAGACTATTAAACCGATGTGTTGTTGGCTCTTCTGCCCTCATTTTTTTTATTTGCTTTTTGGGTCACACCTGGCAATGCACAGGGGTTTCTCCTGGCTCTGCACTCAGGAGTCACTCCTGGCGGTCCTCAGAGGACCCTATGGGATGCTGGGAATCGAACCCAGGTCGGCCGCGTGCAAGGCAAACACTCTACCTGCTGTGTTATCTCTCTAGCCCCGTGCCCCCATTTTTAAAAAAAAATTTATTAGTGAAACACCATGGGGTATAGTTGTAGACTTACAAATTTTTGTGCTTGGGTTTCAGTTATACAATGATCGAGTACCCATCCTTCCACCAGTGCCCATTTCCCACCACCACGGATCCCAGTATCCCTCCCACCCCCCATCCCCCCCATCCCACCCTGCCTCTGTGGCAGGGCATTCCCCTCTGTTCTCTCTCCTTTTGGGTGCTGTGGTTTGCAAAAGAGGCATTGAGTGGCAACCCTGTTCGGTCTATAGTCTACTTTCAGCATGCTTCTCCCATCCTGGGAGGATCCTCCCAGCACCCTGTATTTGGTGCTCCCTTCTCTATCTGAGCTGCCTTTTCCCTTAGTGTGTGCGGCTGGCCTCCAAGCCATGGAGAAAACCTCCTGCCTGGTACTTATTTTGATCTTCTGCCCCCGTTTGCAGGGATGGAAGAGGGCTCAGTGCCAGCCCCCACTGAGTGGGCAGAGACTGAGTGGGCCAGAGGCTCCGTCTCTTAGGGTCCCTCACCCACTCACCCTCTGCAGCCCTGCGGAGCCAAGGGCAGGATGGGGACAAATCAGGATTCTTGAAGAGGATTGGTTTGTTGGTTTTTTTTTTTTTTTTTGGGTGGGGGGGAGGGTTCACACCTGGCAATGCTCAGGAATTACTCCTGGTGGTGCTTGGGGGACCCTATGGGATGCTGGGAATCAAATTCGGGTCGCTGGCAAGGCAAACGCCCTCCCCGCTGTGCTATCGCTCCAGCCCCCCCCCACTTTTTTTCCTTTTTATTTTCTGGTTCAAAAGAAATCAGAGCTTTGTAAAGTCTCTCTAATCAATTATGCAGGGGTCTTCTTTGAGTCGGCAGGAAACTTTCCCAGATGCTAGAGCTGGGGTACCCAGCCTAAAAATAAACCTGGACCTCAAGAAAGTGCAAGTGTGTGTGTGTGTGTGTGTGTGTGTGTGTGTGTGTGTGTATGTATACACATGTGTCAAAGAGACAGACGGAGAATGCTTTGTATACAGAAAGTGCTTAATAGATGCTAAGGCTGGAAATACTGAATTTTTAACGAAAATTAATTTTATAAGGTAGTTCACAAGATTTGATGACGTTTAATATTCAAACATCAATTCCACCACCATGACACCTTCCCACCATCCTATTTGGGATGTTTCCATCCCAAGCTCCAATTCTTGTCCCGAAATACAACCGAAATCATTTATTTTGTATTGTTGGTTGTGAAAAACTGCTGAAAATGCTACAAAAAAAGTATCCATAGAGGAAAGAGTGTGAAGATTGTTCTATTTTTGCAGGGGCTGTTAAGACCTTCTTTAGGATATCAGAAACATTATTAAAGGTTGAATGTTGTGTACTTTCATATATATATCGGAAAAAAAATATATTTCCCTCTATGATTGGTTGCCTACTATTCTTTTGCATTCTTATTTTAATTGTTTAAATTACCAAGTGAATAAAAATCGACTATTTGTAAAACCCAGCATAAATCTTTTGTTTAGTTTGATAGCTGGTGTTTTAGTTTACCTTATCAGAATACGTGGCAGTCTATTTTTTTTTCTTAGTCCATACTCCATAATCATTTTAATATTCTAAGCCAAAAAGGACTCCTAAACTTCCTGCAGCATAGATTTTTTTCCCCAGAAATCTAAGATTACTTTACCTTCTAGAACAGTCTCGCTAGTTTTCATCAGCGTTTTATAATCACTCAATAGCCTTTTGTTGACCTCCTCAGAGGTAATTCTCAATTCTTGACAACTCACATCATTTAAAGACCAAAACGGACAACATTTCAATTTAAGAATAGTCGGTTAATGGAGAAATTTCCTGCACTAATAGTTTATTTGTTTTCTGTTTTATCTTTGCTTCTGATTCTGGTTGCTTACTATTTGAACTGCATCAAAGGTGGTGTGGTACTCTCGCAACATGGGTAGGGAGTGTCTTATGATGTGTCGCGTGACTGCATTCACGGCCAGGAATAGGTTCACTTGTGCGTGAGTCTTGGTCCGAGCGTGTGGGGAGCGGCCTTGAACGTGGCGGCAGTTGGATTGTGGAATTTTTCAGCTTCTGGGGCTGGGTCCCTTGGGGTGGGGAGGGCTCTCACCCACCCCTCTGTGGGGCGCACCGAGTGGAAAAACCTGGTTTCGGGGCCCCATGGCATGGCTGTGGCGGGCGTCATATTGCTCCAATACTGACTTTTAATTTTCCATAAGGTCGGAGGAATGTAGTACTGTGTCACTGTCCTCCCGTTGTTCATCTATTTGCTCGAGCGGGCACCAGTAACGTCTCCAGGGTGAGACTTGTTGTGACTGTGTTTGGCATATCGAAGACACCACGGGGAGCTTGCCAGGCTCTGCCGTGCTCGCGGGATACTCTCGGGAGCTTGCTGGGCTCTTCGAGAGGGGCGGAGGAATCGAACTTGGGTTGGCTGCATGCAAGGCCAACACCCTACCTGCTGTGCTATCGCTCCAGCCCATTATTATAACACCTTTTGTTTTGTTTTGTTTTGTTTTTGCCTTTTGGGTCACACCCGGCAATGCACAGGGGTTACTTCTGGCTCTGAGCTCAGGAATTACCCCTGGCGGTGCTTGGGGGACCCTACGGGATGCTGGGAATCGAACCCGGGTCTGCCGCGTGCAAGACAAACGCCCTCCCTGCTGTGCTATTGCTCCAGCCCCTATAACACATCTTCTTCTTTCTTTTTTTTTTTTTTTTTTTTTGGCTTTTTGGGTCACACCCGGTGATGCTCGGGGCTTACTCCTGGCTCATGCACTCAGGACTCACTCCTGGCAGTGCTCAGAGACCTTATGGGATGCCGGGGATCGAACCCGGGTCAGCCGCTTGCCAGGCCAGCGCCCTCCCCGCTGTGCTATCACTCCAGCCCCCCTCCGGCACATCTTCTTGAGTTCGATTCTCGAGGCAGGTTCATGCTCGCCAGAGGAACTAACTCAAAGCAGGTGGGCAGTGCCGGTGTCCCCAGGCGGCACATGCGCACACGGTCCGCTCCGCCCCCGCGTGGTGATGATGTTCTCGCTTCTGTGCTCTCCAGGGCGTACCTGAGCGTGAAGGAGCTGAAGGAGTTGCTGCAGCCCAATAGTAGTCACTTCCTCAACATCTACTTGGCCAGCTGGGCGCAGGAGGGCCTGGCCGGCTCTGCCACCTGGCCGTGGGAAAAGGACGCCCTCACCCACCAGGGTAAGTCATCGGGCACTGCATAGGGCAGGGTGGGCGCCTCGGATCACAGCGGGGAGGAAAGAGAGTTCACTGCAGCAGGGATGAGCCAGAAAGAGAGTTCACTGCAGCAGGGATGAGCCAGAAAGAGAGTTCACTGCAGCAGGGATGAGCCAGAAAGAGAGTTCACTGCACCAGGGATGAGCCTCGGTGGGCTGAGAACCCCACATGTGGGGGAATTTGTGCAAGTATTTCTTTCTCTTTTCTTTTTTGGGGGGTGTGTCACATCCAGTGATGCTCAGGGCTGACTCCTGGCTTTGCACTCAAGGAACTCTCCTGGCGGTGCTCGGAGAGCTAGAAGGGATGCTGGGGGTTGAACCCGGGTCTACTGCATACAAGGCAAACACACCCTTCTGCTTGCCGATTGCTCCAGCTCCTGTCCAAGTCTCTCTTTCTCTCTCTCTCTCTTTTTTTTTTTTTGCTTTTTGGTCACACCCGGTGATTCTCAGGGGTTTCTCCTGGCTCTGCACTCAGGAATCACTCCTGGCGGTGCTCGGGAGACCATGTGGGAGGCTGGGAATCGAACCCCGGTTGGTTGCATGCAAGGCAAACACTCTCCCCGCTGTGCTATGGCTCCAGCCCCTGTCCAAGTCTCTCAATACTAAGTAAAGATCATTAAGCAACCTTCCAGGATGTTTATGGTCTAGAACTGGGGCTTCCAGGCATTACTGGACACCTCCCTTTCAGGAAAACCAAAATAAGTCACTCAGTGACCTCCTTGGAAATCTGTTTTAAGTGGACAGTGAAGCTGCCCCCTAGTGGCACTCAGGGGGTACTGTGGCCCACCTAGGCGGTTCCAGTGATTGATCACTGTGTGGTTACAGTGATCTTGGTGGGTATAGACTCTTTTTTTAACTTCTTCTTCTTCTTCTTCTTCTTCTTCTTCTTCTTCTTCTTCTTCTTCTTCTTCTTCTTCTTCTTCTTCTTCTTCTTCTTCTTCTTCTTCTTCTCCTCCTCCTCCTCCTCCTCCTCCTCCTCCTCCTCCTCCTCCTCCTCCTCCTCCTCCTCCTTCTTCTTCTTCTTCTTCTTCTTCTTCTTCTTCTTTTTCTTAATGAATGACCGTGAGGTACAGTTACAGATTTGCAAACTTTCGTGCTTACATTTCAGTCATGCAATGTTAGAGCTCCCATTCCTTCACCAGTGCCTGTTCTCTGTCATCAATGATCCCAGTATCCCTCCCACCACCCCCACCCCATATGTCCCCCCACCCCACCCTGCCTCCGTGGCACGGCATTCCCTTTCGCTCTCTCTCTCTCCTTTTGGGTGTTGTGGTTTGTAATAGAGGTATTAAGTGGCCATCATTTGGTCTATAGTCTACTTTCAGCACACATCTCCCATTCGAAGCGGGTCCTCCAAGCACCTTTTACTTGGTGGTCCCTTCTCTATCTGAGCTGCCTTTTCCCCCAGCATGTGAGGCCGGGTTCCAAGCCGTGGAGCAATCCTCCTGGTACTCATCTCCACTATTCTTGGGTGTAAGTCTCCCATTCTGTTACTTTATATTCCACAAATGAGTGCAATCTTCCTATGTCTGTCCCTCTCTTTCTGACTCATTTCACTTAGCATGATACTCTCCATGTTGATCCACTTATGGGCAAATTTCATGACTTCATCCTTTCTAACAGCTGCATAGTATTCCATTGTGCAGATGTACCAAAGTTTCTTTAACCAATCATCTGTTCTCGAGCACTGCGGGCTAAGAGCAAGACCCCAGAGGACTTTTGACATGCAGCACTGGCCAGTGAGAATCCAAGGCTGGAAGCTGGAGCCATAGCACAGTGGGGAGGGCATTTGCCTTGCACATGGCCGACCCAGGTTTGGTTCCTCCCTCCCTCTCGGAAAGCCCGGCAAGCTCCCTGGAGTATCCCGCCCTCACGGCACAGCCTGGCAAGTTCCCCCTGGTGTATTTATTATGCCAGAAACAGTAACAACAAGTCTCACCATGGAGATGTTACTGGTGCCCGCTTGAGCAAAATCAATGAACAGCGGGAGGTCAGTGCTACAGTGCTATACTTATACATTAATAATCAATAAATATTTTCAACAAACGCCATTGAAATGCTCAGGCATTTCCTACACCAGGAACAAGGATCAGCATGAATCTCTTGCCATACATAAAAATTAGTTCGAAATAGATCAAAGATAAACCTGCAGAGCTTGATAAAGAAAACGTAAGAGAAACTGGAGGGCAGGAGTTAGTCCTTAATTACTTCTCTGTGACGTCTGACACTAAAATTATCATTTCTAACGAAAAGGAGGGATGAATTCTCCTAAATCAAAGAGTAAAACTTTCCCTTTGAAGCAGCGTTACTTAAGTAACACTTAAGTAAACTTAAACGAAAGTTGAACTGAAGTAAACTTCAAGTAACTTAAGTTGCGTCACTGAAGTGGAAGGAAATATTTGCAGATGACACTGCACCCAGAGGTAGAATTCTCAACGTCACATCCACAGACAGTCTTTTCAGACCTTTACCAATTTCTCTGCTACAGTATACTTGGTGTACACCAATTCTTTCTAGAGATTTACAACAATTCTTTCTAGAGATTTTATTTTATTTTTTTGCTTTTTGGGTCACACCTAGCGATGCACAGGGGTTACTCCCGGCTCTGCACTCAGGAATCACTCCTGGCGGTGCTCGGGGGACCCTATGAGATGCTGGGAATCGAACCCGGGTCGGCCGCGTGCAAGGCAAATGCCCTACCCGCTGTGCTATCTCTCCAGCCCCTAGAGATTTTATTTTAAGATGACTGTAGAGTCAAGACAACTTTAAGAAATGACACCAGGGTTCAGCATATAGTACCCGGGCCAGGCTGGATCAGTCCCAGACACCATGTGTGGACCCTTAACCCTGCTGGAAATTATCCTGAGCACAGAGCCAGGAGTCAGCCCTGAGCACTGCCGGTGTGAATTAAAAAAATTATAAAGAGGGGCTGGAGCAATAGCACAGCGGGTAGGGCATTTCCCTTGCATGTGGCCGACCCGGGTCCGATTCCCAGCATCCCATAGGGTCCCCTGAGCACTGCCAAGAATGATTCCTGAGTGCAGAGCCAGGAGGAACCCAAAAAGCAAAATTAAAATTATAGAGAGATTTTATATCACACACACACACACACACATACAGCTATTTTCTTTTTTGTCTTTTTGGGTCACACCCAGCGATGCTCAGGGCTGACTTCTGACTCTGCACTCAGAAATTACTCCTGGCGGTGCTCAGGGGACCCTATGGGATGCTTGGGATCGAACCCAGGTCGGCCACAGCAAAGCCAACTTCCTCCCTGCTGTGCTATCACTCCGGCTGCACACACAACTATTTTCTATTCCTTCCCTAAAGCATCCTTATTTTGTGTGTGTGTGTGTGTGTGTGTGTGTGTGTGTGGGTGGGGATCACTCCTGGGGATGCTCAGGACTCAATTCTGGCTCTGTGCTCAGGGGTCACTCCTGGCAGTGCTCAGGGGAGCATGAAGGGTGTCAGGAGCAAACAGGCGTGTTCAAGGCAGACACCCTCCCTGCTGTGTCATACTATCTCTCCTCACTCACCCCCACCATCTACAGCTTTATTACAGCAATAAACCTCGAAAACTCACAAACAGGATATGCCAGGGATATTGATGATTTATATCAATTATAAGCTGTCGGCATCTCCTTCCCAAGTGAGTGATCGTCTTGAAAGGATGCGTTGGCCGAGACTGATCAAAACAGGATTGCGAAACGCGGCTCCCATGAAACGGAGCGGGAAGTCTCCTTGCCCAGGGAATGACACAAGTTTCTCGCCCCTCTAATTAGCTCTGGTACCCAGGGTGACGGCTTGTGACAGCCCCTAGCTTGAGACAGGATTGAGCGGCAGTTGTGCCATTTTCTTTCCAAGCTCTCAAGCGAGGAAAAACTTTGCTCCCAAGTTTGAGTCAAAGGGAACAAGTCAAGGGTTCCAGCAATGCACTTGGTTCTTTTATTTCTTTTTTTTTGCAGTTTTTAGGCGTTTTATTTGCGTAAAGTCATTCACAATAGTTCATTGCAGATAATGTTCACACACCAGAAGAGGCAAGTGTGTGAAGGTTGTTGTATTTCATTCTGGAGCCCTTGAAGCCCGTGTATAAGAGAATACAAGCAAGTAAGCTAAAACCAAACTCATGTGTGCTACTTTTGGTACGTCAGTGGGCTAGAGGATAAGAGGTCCCAAGGCCGCAAATGTGGCCGCACACTCCAGGACATTCTGCGTCTCTCTCTTCCGGAAGCTTTAGTTGACAGTCTCTGGGTCTTGGCCGTTGATGAGATTACGTGGCGCCGGGGGCCGTTGGTGGGTGTGACTGCCAAGCTCCCGGAAAACTGTGGAGCTGGGGGGAGGAGGCCCAGTCCCGATCCTAGTGGGGCTTGGAGATCTCAGCCCCGGGTCCCGCAGACCTGGGTTTTTCTGCTGGTCCGCTCTTGGGTGAGGTTCAGCCCGTCTTGAGTGAGGCTCGTCCGAGCATTTGGAGAGTGGCTTTTTGGGCATGGTGACAGTTGGGTTCTGGAGGTTTTTGGCTGTCAGCGTGCTGCTTGGGGCAGGGAGGGAAACTCAACCCGCATCCCCCCCCCCGCACTTGGTTCTTTGATAAGTCAAATGGGCACCCTGGAGAGGGAGCACTATGGAAGAAGGAGGTCTTCACAGAGAGCACCGTGGAGGAGCACCCTAGAAGAGGGAGCACCTGGAGAAGAAACACCACGGAAGAGGGACAAACCCAGAGAGAGCATCCCGGAGGAGCACCCCAGAAGAGGGAACATCATGAAAGAGGGAGCACCCCGGAAGAGGGAGCACTCCAGAGAGCACCCCAGAGGAGCATCCCAGAAGAGAGAGGATCATGGAAGAGGAAGCACCCCAGAAGAGGGAGAACTCCAGAGAGAGCACCTCGGAGAAGCATTCCAGAAGAGGGAGTACCCGGAGAAGAAACACCACGGAAGAGGGAGTACCCCAGAAGGAGAGCACCCCAGA